ACCTCCCCTTTAATGGCCGTTCTTACACGCCGACCGGAAAAGTTCCAGACACGTCCGAGCCGAGTCTTAAAGGGACGTGGCCATCCCCGCCCCTGTAAGTGCCCCGCCCAGCCGTTGCCGTGGGCACCGGAGCCGGCGTGCGAGTGCTGGGTCCCAGCCCGGCCTGGGCGCTGCGTTACCCCCAGGCCGGCCAGCAGCGGCGCGCTCTGCCCAGCCGTAAGGAAATGCGCCCGTGGGACCGGCCGCTGGGAGGAGCAGCCCCGGGTGCTGGGTCTAGGCCTGCTCCCTGCAGGAACGGGCTCCTGGAAAACTGCTCCGCCGTCCCGGGCAGCGCCTCTGCCGTGCACAGCACCGCTGTGGGGAGACGGAGCGTGGGCTGGGGGGGACTCCGGCCCCGCGCTGCCTGCAGGCCAGTCCTCACCCCTTAGCCGAACAGCGGAATAACCCAGTGCGCCGTCCCGGGCAGCGCCTCTGCCGTGCACAGCACCGCTGTGGGGAGACGGAGCGTGGGCTGGGGGGGACTCCGGCCCCGCGCTGCCTGCAGGCCAGTCCTCACCCCTTAGCCGAACAGCGGAATAACCCAGTGGTTAGTGCCTGGGGCCCCTTGCCACTGCTTGCTGCTGCCTCTAATGAAAGCAGCAGCGTGGGGTGCCCAGCAGGAGCTGGTCTGCGAGGGGAGCCAGTTTAAAAACCAGCACCCCTCCCCCACTGTGGCCCCATGCTGCTGCCTCGGATACAGAGGCAGCAGCAGCCCTGATCCAGGGGAGAGTGGTCTGTGCTACCAGACCTGGTGTGAGCCAGAACTGAGCTGGGCTGCCTGCCAGCCTCGCTCCTAATCACTGGTGTGCGTACAAGGTGTGCTGGATGTGCCCAGGCACACCCTAGTGTCTTAGAAAACCAGACACCTGGCAACCCTATCAGACAGTACGGTTTTTTGGGGCTCTGTCCTGTAAAAAAATCCAGAAAATACCAGACATGTGCAATGTCCGGTATTTTCTGGTTTTCCCACTGGGCACCCGGAAGCCTGGTGGGGGGAGTAGCTGGGAGGCGGAGGGCCATTGGTGCTGGGAGCCCTGGTTGGCATGTGAGGAGGAGGGGCAACCAAGCGCATGGTGGAGCCGCAGCTGGACTGACTCGCACTTTACCTGGACCATGTGGGGGGCGGGAATGCCCTGGGATCTTCACTGCCTGGGTCAGTCCCACTCCCCGCTGGACAGTACGGTTTTTTGGGGCTCTGTCCTGTAAAAAAATCCAGAAAATACCAGACATGTGCAATGTCCGGTATTTTCTGGTTTTCCCACTGGGCACCCGGAAGCCTGGTGGGGGGAGTAGCTGGGAGGCGGAGGGCCATTGGTGCTGGGAGCCCTGGTTGGCATGTGAGGAGGAGGGGCAACCAAGCGCATGGTGGAGCCGCAGCTGGACTGACTCGCACTTTACCTGGACCATGTGGGGGGCGGGAATGCCCTGGGATCTTCACTGCCTGGGTCAGTCCCACTCCCCGCTGGCTGATATGCTCCTCCCTCCCCATCCCCTCCTGGCCAGCCGGTTGGTTCTCCCCAACTTCTCCTCCCAATCTTCCCTGGCCAGCCCTGCTGCACCCGCCGCCAGCCCTGCTTCCGGCAGCCAGTTCTCCCCTCCTCTCCTGATCTTCCCCGGCCAGCCCCGCTGCACGCCCCCGCCCGACCCCCCCCAGCCAGCCCCTGACCCCCTCACCAGCTCTGCTTCCTGGTCCCCCCCTTTCCTCCAGGCCTGCCCCACTCCCCTCCCGGATGGTCCCTCCCCAGCCTCCCCATGAAGTGTGTCCAGTATTTTTTTTAAGACTACCTGGTAACCCTATAATGTCTCCAAAAAAGTAGCTTTGCATTTTAATTTAATTGCATGATACGCTCTTTTAGTTTTAAAGTATGGATTGCTGTATTATGCAATAAGCGCCAAATTGCACATGTAAAAAGCAAACTAAGTAGTACAATGTCCCATACTTAAGTTTGTATTTTTTAAGTAAAGTTTAGTTGTTAATTTAAAAAAAAATAAGTTTAGTTAAGTTTTAGTTTCTTTAGTTTGTTTGATTAATAAAAATAATGTCCTTTGATTGAGTATTAATGTTCACCTTAAAAAAAAAAAAAATTGAACCATGTCACTGTTGCGGCACATTAGAGAAAGTAGAGGGAGGAAACTTTAATGAGCAGGGCTGGGGTGGGGAACAATTCAGAGTAGTTAAAAGTTAGTAAAATATTGCAACAAAGTGTCAGGGGAACTTTGAGTGTTGGGTAGGAATGTAATGGGCCAAAGAGAAACAAAATATACAGATTTCTCATCGTAGCGTTAAAGAGAAAACAATAGTATAGTGTATATGCACACAGCAAAGCCACTAAGTGGTTCACGTAAACCTCGATTGCCATGAAAGATTTTTGCTTAGACTTTATTCTCTTTCTTCAGTTTGTTTTCATTGATTCAGTCATTTAAAGTTAAATGAAAAAAAAACAGGCATTTGAAAGTTGAGTTGATGTCAGAATCACACTAGGTACAATTTATGAGTTCTCATTGATATTCTGAAACTATTGTGCCATGCAATAGGCATGGATGTGGAGTCTGCCATCTGCTGTCAATCATATAGTGTGTCCCCTCCCACATCAAGTGGATTGTTGGACTTTTAATTTTGTTTCATCTATTCAAGTAGCAATACTTCCAGACAATAGGATGGCTGAAGCTGAGGGAAACCAGATCAACCAAGTTTTTCTGCATAAGGCTGCAGAAGTGGAGAGTGAAAAATCATTATTACATCTCGAATCCAAGTATCTAGATCATGTGGAGAGGAAGCATCATCACCATGTTGATGCTGTGATGGGTCTGTAGGTATACCAACACTAGCCAAGACTGGAGGGGCCTGAGTCAGAGCCTGGCAATAGGATGTAACATTAACCACATTCCTCACATGGACCCTCTTGATCCTGGAATAACTTTCTGTATTTTTGTTTATTCTCATCATTCTGGCCTGCTCCTTTAATCCAAGATGGATTAAACTCTAAT